AAATTTTGCCACCTCACTGTTTATCCCTTTTTCCAGATTGTTTATGAATATGTTAAATAGGACTGGGCCCAGTACAAATCCCTGGGGGACACCACTATTTACCTCTCTCCATTCTGAAAACTGTGGAACGCTCCCGTCTCCCCCATCCTAATCCCCAGCTAACAATTCAATTTAAATATCAGAAAAATAGTGATAGTTTTCTACTCCCTCTCTCCCCTGCTTTAAAAAGTTATTTTAATTTAAAATAAAAACACCTTCTCACCCCCCCTCCCCGTCTTCTTTTAGCCCTAATTATGATATTCATTTAATTAAGGGCTGTTGTTTTTTTAAATATATTCCCTTTCATGAGAAACTGTAAAATCTGATCCAGCTCTGTTCCACCCATGATCTCTGGAATATTTTGTTTAACAAATGTAAAAGCCAGTCAGTCTTCTCCAGGGCTTCTTCCAGGGTGTCTGTCACTTTGTCAGAAAACACACATGTTTGAAAAGGGAAACTACTGTAGGGCTCTGAATTTGTAAAACTAGTGTAAACAAACATGAGAAGCAGCATAGTTTAATGTCTTGGAAATGGGATTGGGCATTAGATTTAGGATTAGAACTAGGAATTCCTATCACTAACTCACTTTGTGCTCTTGGGAAAATCACTTAACCTCACTGCCTCAATTTCCCCATTGGTAAACAGGGATAATATTTGCCTAGGATACCTCTCAAGGGTGTTGTAAGGATTAATTACTTAACGTTTGTACAGTTTTTTCACACATAATTATTAAATTCTTTATGTGCCAAATTTTGCCCTCAGTTTCATACATTCAACTCTAATTATCTTCAAGAGGAGCTGCACACTTATAGGTAAGAGAAGAATTTGGTCCTATAATAAGAGATCCTATTTCTTAATTTTTATGTTTAAATTGCATTTATTTTCAACACACATTTAATGCTTTTCAAATTACCAGACTGATAGCCCTCAAGGCTTTGATTCCTCTGAATACTCACAAACAGGTCTGGAATGGGTAGCAACAATACAAATTTCCCACTTAGTCTAGAAGGACCATTGCACGCAGATCAGAGGGTAATTCCTCCTTCATATCCATTCAGTACTAGTCTTGTCTGCTGCCACTGCCAACATTTTCAATGGTGGCTTTTCTGGGACTAACACCTAAAAACAGGTCTAGAAATAAAGATAAGATTTAATTATTCTAATTGTATAACCACAGAGAGAACATCTCTCCTTGTTTTTTGGCGTTCTTTTTTCTAGAAGCGTTTAATGGTTCTACTTTAATGTCCAAATTCTGTCCAGATGTAAAGCTTTTGGCTGATTTTGGCTCTGAGGTGAAACAAACATGAGGTAGAATGACACATTCTTTAAATACATCATCCAATTTCCAGGTAACAGACAGCTGCAGTCATGAAGACCAAGGCATACAATAGAGGTTTATGAATCATACAGAATCTTAGCTAAATAAAAGGAAAAACATTCACAGCCAGCTCCTTTTTATCGCTAATTGTAATTCAAGTGCCAAGAGTGCTCCCCACAGCATAAGATTCAGCTCCTTAATTTCATAAAATGAAAGCACCCCTGCTATGAGAGCTACACTGTAACGTGTATGTTAAAAATGATTGGAATATTCTTAGTTAGCAGAATGTAACTTTTTTTCTCCTCCCTAAAATAAATCACCTAATTTTATTTATTTACAATTCTCCCCCCCGCCCCTCGCCCCAGAAGCACCATCTCATTTTAATGAGTCCTAGGGGACTACACTCATACATACACACATATTCATGCAGCTACCAAACACACAGCATGAAAATCCTTTTACAAAAAATATTAGCTCATTAATTTACATACAGCAAACAGATTCATGAGAGAGAGCTTTTGATCTTTTCACTGCATTTTACAAAACAATGTTTAATTTTAACTGACCATAGCACATTTTGGACCATCTTTAAATATGACCTGCATTGCTACAAAATGACAAGCTTGCATCTATTGACAAGATTTCTCCACCCTGAAACTGAGGTGCTGAATAATTTTGCTGCAAACAATAACTTGATTTAGCACCTAAATATCCCTAAAGTAAAGATGATGCATTTGTTAAATGCATTGAATTTGGTAAATTTTATATTATGTTTCACCACCTAAACATACATAGTTCACAAAAAATTACTACATTAAATAATAATTCCAGAACACAAGATGCTTATGAAGTGATACCACATGCTGATTTAACAGAAGTTTGGTTGTTTTTTTGACTAAAATTGCATTTTAAAATGTCACGTTTGAATTTCTATGGTGTTGGGATTTTTAATTAAAAAAAATAAAACCCTACTGTATGATTACAATGTTAAATCAAGGGCCTGATCCAAAGTCAATTAGAGTCCATGGAAAGACTTTCATTAACTAAGGAAAGCCCTTAAAGAACCATTTCCCCCAAATACTTCAGTGACCTTTTTTGACTTAAAATGCAAAAGGATCCTTATAAGTACTTAAAAAATTACTGAAGCCAACTGCATTAGAGAGTCATACCTATATGACTATGTCTACATTTATGATTCATTGGAAAGAGCCACTGTAAAAAGTGCAATATTTCAACAATATTATAAACAAACCACAAAAATCATACTGAAACTTTTCCTGGAAATACTGGGGACAGTGAGACAGCTTACTTGAGTCTTTCCCCTTTAACCCTACTACAGGCCAATTTAGCTGGGGAGTCTCTTCTCAAAATCTCCCTTGATTTTAAAGGTGCCAGCTCTGACCATTTTATCACAAACCTCGTGACAGAGGGTGGGGGGGGGGAGTGAGCAAATTTTAAGTTTCTCTAGATCTCCAAATTCCTGCCAAACTTTTGAATTTTTACCATGGTCAAAATGGTTGATGTTTCCCATTACTTCCAATGGGACTAAAGCCACAAGCTGCCCTCTGTCAAGATGTCTACCATTTTCACATATTATTAGTAGTATTTTATTATGTATTTGTATTATCATAGCACCTAGGAGCTCCAGTCATGGATCAGCCTTTGGCCCTCAAAGCAAGGCACTCCCTAGTAAAGATGGGCACCAATTCTCATATTTTCCCCCAATATGACTGAAGCCCAGATCGACCTCAAGGAAGATGGTCATGGCCTTATACTCTATGGCTAGGGAACTGGAAAGGAACAGTGAAGAAAAAGGAATATGGGGGGGAAGGGGCCTGAGGAGGACTAAGGAGATGGAGGGAAATGTGGGGTACAGGATGGGAACTGAGGAGGTGCAGGGGAATGTGGGGTGCAGACAGTAAAAGGAGGACAGTAAAGGAGGGAGAACGAGAGGAAAATATAGGGGGAAGATGAGGGGCAATACACTGTGTGGGAGCATAGCGAGTGAATGCAAGTGAAGCACGAGTTGGGGCATGGAGGGAGACAGGACAGCGGTGCAGGAGGAGAATAGAGAGGGATAAAATGGCAGCTTCCTACAACCAGAAGATAGGCTAGGGTAAGCGGAGTGCAGTGAAGCCTGCATTTGTGTATGTGTATTTAAGGTTGAATTTTGAATCTGTAAAGATCACACACAGTTTAGAGGTTGGCAGCTTCTCCCAGAGAGTCTAATAAGAGGACAGGTAAAAAAAAAAAAAACCACTATTTTTTAAATTTAATGATTTGGGGGGAGATCTGACTCATGATTTTTGAATGGTTTATTGTTGGCAATGGTGGAATTTGCACATTTGGGGGCACTATAGATTTAAGCACGGCCTCATGGCCCACCAAAGCCCCCTAGAGAGCCTCCCCTGATGGGCTCTTGGCAGCTGCTGCATCAGCAAACAGCAGCCTTTCTATAGGAAGTAGGTTAGCAGAGACTCCAGCACTGACTGTCCCTCCTTGGAGTCCCCTCATTGACCCCCTCCCTTTTTAACACTGATTTACTTCCTTGAGGTACTTCCCCTCCTCTCCCATTCATCTAGGGTGCAGCCTCTGGGACACCTCATCTCTGATTCCCTAGGCCTGACTGCATCCTTGGGGATTCTCCCACCCACCCCACTCTGTGATGGAAAGCGGTTAGATTGGCTATATATCTGAGCATCTCCATGACCTGCTTAGGCTGTCTGCCTCTCATCTGGAAAAGAAGTGCTGTTCTGAGGCTGTGGTGGTGGTGGCATGGGGGAAGGCATAGGAACAGAGTATATAGGGTGGGTCTTAGGAAGCTTCTGGGGACAGGCGGTTGGGGTAGTTATTAGAGGGGCTGAGGAGGAGGATTAAAGAGAGGGTTGCAGATACCAACGTTAAGCGAGTTGTAAAGCAAGGGACAGGTGCAGGGGGCATAGGGTGTGTACTAGAAGGGCTTGCAGGGGTGATGAAGGCAAAAGAGTTGTGGGTATTTTGAGGGGTGGGCAAGGATTACTGAAGAACGGTATGTGGTTTGGGGTCCGTTATGGGTGGTTCAGGGTCGGTGGTGGGTGTTAGGAGGCAATTATGATAATGGAGTGTCTGTCGGAGGGAACGCTAGGAGGCTGCAGAGGGGATATGGTGAAGGAACATGTGTTAGAAGGGCTGCAGGGAGTGACTGAGGGAGGGGTAAACATTAGGGAGACATGTAGGGAGTGATGGGACACTGAAAAGGGGATCATGGGGGACAGCAGAGGTGCCCGCGGGGGTGATTGAGAAGAAAGTTAGATTTGGGAAAGGTTGCAGTGCGGTGATTTAGGACGGGAAAGATTATTATGGGGCTACGAGGAGTGACTGAAGGGAGGGATGCAGGGTGTGATGGGGGGGGCCTGCCGGGGGTGATTTAGGGGAGTATATGGGGTGAGGGAGGCCAGGCCGTGGGGACGGGGCTCACCTCTGTCCTCCAGCCCTTCGCTGAACTGTCCGCTCTCCCCGATCCGGAGCTGTTCCTCCTGCTGGTCCCGGGAGGGATAGGGCGGGGCGGTCCTGGGGGGCTGCACGATGGTGAGGTCCGGGGGGCTGGCTGGGTCGCCCCCGGCTGCGGCCGGCTCCATGTCTCGCGGCGTGGGAGAAGGCGGCAGGAGAGCGTGGCAGGGCAGCGCGGAGTGAGCGGAGCATCCAGCACAGGGGGAGGAGGAGACTGGGCTCAGAGCATCAGGGGGATGGGGACAGACGGCAAACAAACTCCCCCGGCGGCTCCCTCCAGCGGCTCATAGCCAGGTGAGGAACCAGAACAGCCGCCCGGCTCTTCAGATGGGGCGGGGGGGAGGCTGCAATCAGCCCCCACCCTCCAGCAGCTGCGGGGAGGGCTGGAATTAGAGGCCCCGCCCAGCCCCAGAGAGGAGCTCAAGGGAGCTGCAGTGGGTGACCCCTCCTAGCGGGGGGGCGGCGGCGCTGTAATCAGAGTGTCCGCCCCCCACCCCCCCAAGGTCCCGGGCTGCATGGCGAGCGGACACCCGAGGGGAGGGGGTTGCTGCAGGCCATGCACAGCACCCTGCTGAGGGGGCGTCCCACGCGCGGCTGGGACTCGGCACCTCTCTGTGCCGGTGGGGCGCTGGAAAGGGGAGGTATGGGGTGGGTTGAAATCTCTTCCCGGCCCCTCTCGGGGCTGTTCTAAGGCTGTAACGCCCGGCCTGCAGGAGTGGGGTGAGAGAGCTGGGCTTCCCGTCGTTATTCCCTAACTCAAGCACCTGGATTCGAAGCTGATACCAGACTTTGCTCCGGGGCTCTTGGTTCTGTTTCCTTGTGGTGATTTGGTTTGGGGGGAGGGGAGTTTAGGAGCTGCCATTCTTTGGGGGGTCAAACTCAACAGCATTTAGGTGACTTTGCCAGCGAAATAGGGACCCACTGTTGAGGATTTCAGGCAACTGCTGCTGGCCAAGGAGGAAATTATCTGTACAACCGGCCTTCCAAACTTACCTAGACCCTACCCTTCCTCACCCCACATGCTCCCCTCCCCTAAATCATCCCTACAGTTCTCCATGTCCTCCCACAAAACCACCACAAACTTCAGCTTCCTTTTAGCCCTGTGAAGTTTCCTTAACATGTATTTCAGGATTAGAATTATTCAATAACTGTTAGAAACCACAGTCTTTTCTTATCAAGGGCAGAAGCTAACGCTCCTTACATTTTCAAAGCATTATATACATTAACTATTCCTCATAGCATAGTGAAGAAGGGAAGTGTTACTATCCCCATTGTACAGATGGGGGGAAAGAGGCACAGAGAGGTTAGTGCCCACGTTTTCAAAGTCTTCACTGCTTTTGGGTACCTCACTTTTTAGGTGTCTAATGGGAGCTAGCTGGGGCAGGAGCCCAAAAATCAAATCAACCATTCATGAATGGGAGGGGATGGTATGCATGTATATAAACGTTGCCCTGAAAGACTTCCCCAAATGCACGTGGCAAGTCAGAGAAGAATTCATTAGAATTTAACGCTTTCTGGTCCCCAAGCCTGTGTTCAGTCCACTAGTCGGACACATCCAAGGCTGCAGAGGAACACAAGAAATACTGTCTTTTAAAAACCTCCAAGGCATATGGGGGAAACAAACATTTTGCCAAAAACCAATAACTTGGTCATAGCTATTCTGTTTTACTTTTCTGGTTATTAGCAATGACTAAATAGAGATTTGTGCCCAAATAGCATTTTCCTTCATCAGTGCTGGTAATAAACAAATGTTGTGAATATGGAAAGGCAAGTAAGAGTTAAATGAGAGTTGGCACAAACACACACAGGTTATATTTTAAGCTGCCAGAATCTAAGGGAGGTGCTTCATGCTTGCTGTAGTCAGCACTTTCATTAGAAAGAGAAGTTCTTTCTAATGGTTTAATAGGACCTGTTTGGGAATGTTTACTGAAATATAAATATCCAAATGGCCTAAATCTATATTATATCTCTTAATCCTGGATGCTAATCCTCAAGATGTATTCAACTGTACTTTAAAACATAATTTAATTAAATAGGAAAAGTACATTTCAATAAATATTAAGGGTTGTGATGTAAGCTGATATTTTTAAACTTTCATAGAAGCCTATGAAATTCTATTATTTAGCTGAGTTACTTAATTGGTGCTTTTGCAGTATTGTGGGGTAGGGTTTTATATTAGGGGCTGTGGAGAGGGCTTGGTGTTCTTGGTTGTCTGAGCATGTTGTTCCCTTGCTCCTGCATCTATTCCAAGCAAGGTCCTGAGGTCCTGCATCCCTTCACCTTAATCTCCTTTTCATCCTTACTCCCTTGCAGTGCTCTTGCTCCAGTTGTGAGATCTGCATTAATATGAAAGACTGCAAGGCCCTATGTATGTTATTTTTCTCATCAAATGGGTATTTAACATAAAATAGTAACATTTTAATTATTTGGGTTAAAAGATATTCTTATACATATAAAATAGTCTGAGAGATTTTTCTAAACAAATTCAAACAACTTGATACAATGAAAGTAGGTGATTTTTAGAGGCTACGTATGCATACTTCTTAACATTGGAACCTGCTAATGTGAGACACAAACCATCGACACGTACAACGAATGACCAAAATTTAGACTACCTAAATTTTGTAACATCACACCATAAGCAATAGATTGTAATGTTTGTTTTTCATTAAAATCTGTTGTTAAGGTTTCTCAGTTCTGCAATGTGCTGATGGTGAGCTGCAGAGGGTTGGGGGACACACCTTGCCCAGGCTGCTTAGGCCTTTGCCAGGTGGAGAGAGGATCCCAAAATGGGCTTCTTGTTGGTCATCAGGAAAGGGAGATTTGAGGAAGGAGTGGTGGTCCTGGCTCAGCTGCCCGCAGTTCAATTCATGCCCCTCCAATTCAAATAATGCTCAGCAGTACAACTTCTGCAGCTCCCTCTATCCTCCCCCTCCCCCCCCCTCCCCCCCGCCCCAGGACAATTATTTCAGGATCCCCTCCCTACTTCCCTAGTAAAATTAATATAGGCTTTCCCTATCTGCTTGGCTCCACTTCCACGGCTCCTTCTCTATCAGCAGCTCTGGGTCCTCTGCTCCTCTCCTCCTATCCAAGGAGCAGCGACCTGCAAAGGGAAGGGCACAGCTGCCTGAGAGAGGTGCATGATGGTGTTTGGTTGGGGGATGACAGGCCAGCAGCCTAAGACACCATTTTTGCAAGGAAGGGAGCAGAGTTAGGTAGAGCTGCTGGGCCTTTTCTGTTCTTTCCCCTACTGTAGTCTATAGGATGGTTTAGGTTAAGAAATAAATAGAAGTTAGGTTTTGGTCCTAAGTTAGCCTAAGTGGAGAGGAGTATGGGAAATGGAAGTTGCTAGTGTGAGAAAAGTCAAAGATACGTTGGAGACAAAGTTTTATGGGAAAGTAAGAGTTAGCAAGGACGCCTCCCAGGGTTATGTTACTGTTATGTTTTGGTGTTTACTAGTTTAAGCAAGGTTTGTAATAAATATTTTTTGAGAATTATGAATGTTTTAGTAAAATGTCTATTGAAGGACATTGGTGCAGAAGTTAATTTAAATAATGTGTAATGTAAAGAGCCAATAAGAAGGTGGTAGAAACATAATTATGGTAAAGGGTAGTTTAATATTAATTTGTATTATAATGGAATATAACAGGAATCGTTTTGCTAAATTGTGGGAGAGCTCCAATTAACATCCAAAGGGTACTGTTAGGTTCCAGGATTACAAGGCTGCACAGGCAGTCCTCGGACTTATGACACAATTGGTTCCTGAAAATTGCGTCGTAAGTCAAAACGTCGTAACTCAGAACCGCAGTCCAGTCCGTTGTGTGACTGAACGTCTTAAAGTTGAAACCAGTTTTCATAAGTTGAATCAGGGTGTCAATTCAGAAGCGCCGTGCCATTCGTCGGAAGTAGAACATTGTAAAGTCGAGGACTGCCTGTACTTAACACTGTTGTCACTGGACTGATCACCCATTGATCCACCAATTCATCTTGAGTGTGAGTGTAACAGTAGCATTTGTGTAGGTAGTAATTGCTTGCCTGTTTGCTTAGCTACTCATTTTTTTTAATACAGTTTGGTTGTATCATCAAAGTATAACCTAGTGGTCCTCTACTAAATAGAAGAGGACCACTAGATTATACTTCTATGGTTGGTAGGATGGTTCTAGACTATTCTCAGTGGTAGAAGAGGACAGGACAAGGAGTAATGGTCTCAAGTTGCAGTGGGGGAGGTTTAGGTTGGATATCACTAGGAGGGTGGTGAAACACTGGAATGCGTTACCTAGGGAGGTGGTAGAATCTCCTTCCTTAGAAGTTTTTAAGGTCAGGCTTGACAAAGCCCTGGCTGGGGTGATTTAATTCGGGATTGGTCCTGTTTTGAGCAGGGGGTTGGACTAGATGACCTCCTGAGGTCCCTTCCAACCCTGATATTCTATGATTCTAAATATATTTTCTAGAGGCTCGAGCCTAAAAACTAAGTTGGGGAGGGTTTTTTTGCACCTTTACCTACATAATATTGATTGGGAACATTCCAACATAAAGGTTACACTGCCCATTGTGAAAGATGGTGTTGGCTCGGACTTTCTTCCTCTTTCTAGCCTCCCCTATCCACAATCTACCAGTAGCTCCTCTTTTCTTCACTGGCTTCTATGCTCCTGGGAGAATGGGGCAGGGTGCCCTGAGCTAGCCTCCTTCTCTGACCCTGGCCAGTGCTGCCTGAGAGCACATAAATGAGCTCCAGTGTAAGGTGTACTGTTCAATGCAGTATGTCTGAGAGCTCTGTGTATATAATATTTCTTCCATTCTTAGCCTTGCAGGTGCCTGTTTAACTTCCATCTTTTTGCCAGGGCTATAAATGTCCCTACAGTTCCTCCATCTCTCCTTATCCCCTCCATAAACCAGTAGTTTGTCAGTTTTGTTTTGTACTGGGTTGAGGGGGGTGAGATTCGGTCGGAAGCAGTTTCCTAAACTGCAGACTGAAGGATTTTTAGTATAAACAGAGAGACAAATAAGACTATAAGCCACTACAGCCTCTCCCTACAGGTCCTTTTCCCAAGATGCAATATTGCTTTGACATCTACAAGAAATCAGATAAATAGTGATGGAGAAGTACTTAGGGACACCCATCTAATGTAAAAAAAAATAAATAACACTTTGCAGATGATTTGAACCCCTCAAGAACCATGAACTGTACAATAGCTGCCTACTGTAACCAGTATCTTCAGTATCCTCATCCTCCTTCCCTACTTCCCTTCTTTTGCTAGTAGCCCTCAATTGCTGTTGCTTGTTTCACATTAAGC